TATCTTTCACTGCTGGAGCTGGAAATAACACTCTGACTTCAATGATAGAAATAGTTTAAATAATTATTAGAACTGGAGTAAATGATTTTATGGCTTTATAGTTTTCTTTTTCAATTGTTTTTATACTTGGAGGGTCTCTCCAACGATCATATGATACAAAATGTTTATACCATTAATCAACAGTAATAATTCTTATTGCGATGTCTGGTCACATTACTTTTCAATATTAAATTGGTTCCATTTAAGTATCCAAAGATTTGATTTTTTTTCTTCAATTACTCTGTAACTTTAAAATCTACCATGGAATACTAGCTATAAAATGTGAAAACCAACAATGTTTCAATATTGGCTGAATGTCAGTATCATGTTTAAATGAAATGCTATAAATACTCAACACATGTACAAAAAACAGGTCATTAACAAAAGAAATGCATATGTTCAAGATGTTTTGTCAAACATAGAGTTCTCCATGAATGATCTCAGTCTGTGTACTCAAATTTGGATTTAATTTCTTTACGAACAGCATCTATTAGATGTGAAAATCCAATTTCCCTTGCCACTTTCTCTTTGTGCTTCCCAGAGGGAGCTTATCCCTATGAAGTAGCTACAAATGTATCAGCATTGTCCACAGTTCATTGTCCAAGACCTCCGTTTATGTCATAGTTCACAGTTCTATAGTTTCAAAGAGGGTAATAATTTGGGCTAGCAAAATGTTGAAGATTAACATTCCTTTCAACTTAGGTGTTGCTATTCTCACAAATGACCCGTATGATGGATATCTTGGAAGATTACTGTATCCTACGGAACTATGGCTACTCCAGGCTGGATGGGCAAATGAAAGTGTCAGACAGGCAGGAAGAGGTACTTATTACATGACTAAATTAGTTTAGAGGGCCAATAACTAAAATTGTAATCCATCAAATATTTTCGCTCATACGCGATTGGTCTTAACACGTCACGTGACCGAATATTCCCCAGCTGAAACTGGGGAATATCTGAGAATATTCCCCAATTTTCAAAACTGTGCGTGTTGCAAAAAAGATTTGAAGGATAATAAACACTATAGCCTCCATTTGGCGCGAAAATATGCTCAGATATTTGTCCTTGGACATTATCTGTTCCTCGAAGCTCACAGTTTACCTAGAGCTACGCTCTCGGAAAACTGTTCGCTTCTCGGAATAGATGTCCGCGGACAAATATCCTAGCATATTTTCCCGTCAAATGGAGGCTATTGTTTATTTAACCAATCAGATTGCACCATTGCCGCTCCAATATTCTCTCAGTATTGGACGGGGCACTGTCCCAAATGATCCAGCACGATCACTCGAGAAGATATTTGGTTGTTTTATAGCTTACGTCCCTGAAAGGATTTGGTTTAAACATAAAAGATTCCATTTCTTTTTCTTCCAACTCTCTTTCACCTCTGGTTTGTTTGACATCAGGCATGAGTATACGACTAATCGGCTCCCAGTTAGAATTGTGCGCTTTTTTCCAGTTCGTGATCGTGGCGATTTTCTCTCATTTTCAGTCGTGTGAACCGTATTTGGAGAATATCGGACCTTGGTCTTTTTTGTACAAATCTTGCACTGTCAAGGACTCGGGCCGATATTCTCCCAGTATGGCCCTCACGCCTAGTTGAGGTAATTCCATCAAAGTAGAACTCACAATAGATTTTCTTTCAAACTTTACCTGTCGGCTGCTTACATCAAGAGAACTTAAATTTTGAAACAAAAAAGGGGGGCTCCGGTATTCGTTTAGGAGCAGGAGGACCTTCAATAAACCCCATAATTCCTTAAATTATCTGCGTTCAGAAATATTTATATATGAACCATTCACTATACACTTTGTGAGAGCAGAAAAATAGGGAGAAAGTTAAGTGAGAAAAACATGAATGGGTGTATTGCATCAAAGTTAAGGAGTAATTTGATGTGCGTTTCATGATAAAGGCACCCATATTTAGCCGACAGGCATTAAATACGTTCCAGGCACGCAGTGATCTTGAGAGCACATATTATCTTTTCCGAACACCAGCTATGCTCTCATTTAGTTTTTTACTCTGCAATAGAAATTGGTCTATGTTCACTTTATAGGAAAACGGTGATCGCAACATTTGAACTAAATAAAAAAAATGGTTGGGTCCCGGTACTCATTTCCGAGAAAAAAAAACGATTTTTGTCTCTCGCTAGCCGAGCCGTTTTGCAAAAGCCACCATTTTGTATATGTTGTGTATATGCACGCGCCCGTGAGAGCGCTAATGACGCAAAAATCGTGCGCAGTAGGGATGCGCAATGCAATTCTTAGGAATAACCTTAATAAGATATCTTTAACAGTTGAATAAATTGCAATAAAAGAGCGACTACATATCAAGTGCACAGCTTTATTTCCTGTCTATAAGGTTGAACGTTAAAATCATGAAAATTTTTGCAAACAGGTCTAACAGGGCTACGGGGTAAGATAAGTAGATGATTCTGCATACTGTGAAACGTCCTGCTGGTGACTTGAGTGTACAAAGAAACATCAAGTCTTGAGTGGGGTATTGTACATTACAATCAATCTTATTCTTCCGGTACATGATTGGTCTAACAATTTTTTCGTGTGATGCAACTAAACTGGAAAATATCAGTTATATCTCCTAAGTAATATTGTCCAAATTGCATTTTTTTTTTTTTTTTTTTTTTAATTTTCCACTCCTCGGATTACAAATTTTGAACCTCTGTGAATGTTTTGCGTCCTTAGATAAAGAAATTTGAAGCTGATCCATCAGTCTTTGTATTTCTGTTAAGCACAAGAGCTGGTGGGCTTGGTCTAAACTTGGCTGTAGCAGACACTGTTATTATCTATGATAGTGACTGGGTGAGTTGCTGTTCATGATTTTCCATGATTTATGAAACTGCATATCTGACATTAAATCCGAAAATCCGTTTATTTTATTGCTTTGTACTAATAACTTTCAGTTAAGTAGTTAACTCAAGTGCTAATTTAAGATTAATTGCTTAATTTGTTTGTAATTTGTTAGAATCCTCAAATGGATTTGCAGGCTCAGGATCGCTGTCACCGGATTGGTCAAACGAAACCAGTTATTGTGTATCGTTTTGTGACTGCAAATACTATTGATCAGAAAATTGTCGAGAGAGCATCCACCAAGAGGAAACTTGAAAAGATGATCATTCACAAAGGTTTGCACGTAATTTGTTGCGTCTACAACTTGTTAGTCTGCATTGTATTTGAACTGAACTTCTGGTAAAGGAAACAAAAACATGTTACACCTCTTGACTGCACTGCGCTCTTGGAGAAGTTTATCCTTGTTTTTCAGTATTTTCCAAACCTGTAGGATGTTGTATTTTAGTGTTTTCACTCGACATAAGTCGGTACGAGAACTTATCCTTCACGGTTTTCCGACTCGTTTCCAGTTTGTGGTCGTTCCAGAAACACACTCAAGCAGCCTCATTCTGTTATACAAGATGTGAGTGAAAATATTAGAGTTATACCACTTTTTTAAATTTTGCCCTAGAAAATGGTGACTAAACAGCTGTTATTGTGAAAACTTCTTCCCTATTTTTGGATTGTGTCAGTTTGAAGGGTTTTGCTACAACCCTGAAATTATCTTCTAGTGGAGGAATTGTGGATGATGATTGCATGATGTTTGACAAAACGTGAAGTTATACCGTTTAGGCCCGGTTCACACGCTATACTTCACATTAGCTGAATCGAATTTGAATTTAGGCCAACCCAAATTAATTTAGACCGGCTGGATTGATTCAGACGCCGATCTCAATTCCAGCCCAACTAAATTCAACAGGCGATAAAAGAGCATTTCGATCTGCGCTGATACGTGCTGAACTCCCTTAAACATAGTAGACAACAACCAACAACGATCCAAAGCCATCTTGTGAAAAATATAAGAAAAGTCGCCAAAATAGATTAAAATTCAACATACAATTTCAACTTCCAACCGTTTTGTATGCCATGAAATACAACACAACTTGGGCAAAAAGCCCAGCTGCAATATTCAGGTTAATTCAGAAATGCAATGTTCACACGTAATTCAAACACAAGCACGGAAGCTATGATGAATGCACATTGATCTTGAAGTTGTTTACCAAGGTGGCAGCAAGTACCTTGTACCTGAAAACAGGAAAACATGAGCTGCACAAATCAGCTTCTTCTCTGATGAGTGAAACCCACCAGTCTGATGTGCTGACGCACAATTTTATAGACATACTCAGGTCTTCAAAATATGTTAAAAATTGGTTCGGCTCATGTGAAGATCGGCATCTGAATCAAAGCCGGTCCTCAGCCGTTATTCCCGGTTAAGCCAGGCGTGAACGGCTGAGCCGATCCGAATTTAATGAGCCGTTTCGAATTGATTCAGACACCATACTTCACGCGAACTGAATTCAATTAATTTGATTTGGTTCTTGTGAAGTACAGTGTCTGAACCGAGCCTTAGCTAATGCTTTGTTTTCTGTTTTACACGATTGTTTGAAAGTTTGATCAACCGAATCATTCGAGAAAATCTCTGGAATTATGTATTGCATTTTGAACACTTTTCTGCTTTCCACGAAAACAAATGAATAGAAACATGTCAATAAAAGTTTAAGAAAGTTAGTTACTTCAGAGCTATCCAACACTTATTAGTTTGCTATTTGACTTTAACCAATTTTGGTAAACCTTTTTCAAACAAAAACCCTGTATTAAGCAGACATTGGAGCATTGACTGAGGGTGTGCCAGAATAAAGGTTTATCCTAATTTTTTTATTACCTGTTTCATTTACTGCAGGAGCCAGACATGGTGGCCTGTTAGTGTCCTACACCCGAGATCAAGCGTTCTGGGCTCAAGGGCAGAATACTCTAGCCTCACGGGCCTGTCTCCACCCTGGAGTAACAAGATTCTTGTTTAGGCATTACCTCTTATATGAACTGGCAAAGATTAATCATTGTTTGGTATTTGTGTTCTCATCACTGTAGGTAAATTCAAGGGCAATCAAGACACAGCTGTTATTGATGGGAAGGAACTTCGTGAATTGCTGGAGATGAGGGACCATGAGAAGGTAGTTTCCAGTGAAGATCTGGTGATGAGTGATCAAGATTTGAAGGCCCTGCTGGACAGGAGTGATCTCTTGACTAAAACTACACAAAGCAAACAGAAGAAATCTCCACGCTCCAAAAGAAACCAAAACTCTGGCTTGTTCCGTGTGCTGGACAATAGTTCTGATTCTTGAAGCACTTGCTCCTTTTGCAACATCTTCTTTGTTTGAGATTTTGTTACACTTTACTGGAAATAACATTACCTTTTGTGATGATAATTTTTTCATAGCTCTTTTTATAGTTGGTTTTGTTGATATTATATTATATAATGGTTTTGTTTGAACTCTTTTGCTGCATTTTGTGTTGTACATTTACTATTTTTTTAAGAATAATTATGGGAAACTTGATATTAAAATTGATTATATGGGCATTTTGTATTGTGTATTGTGTTTTCGTGGTTTCATTTGTGGTTGACGTGTTTGAAGACAAAATGCGATTTTCACGTAATGATAAACAAGTGAGGAAAACGGTTGTTTAAAAAGAACAATATCAAAATATGAAGACATGACTGATCAATCATGTCTCCGCAGTTCAAATACATGATCTTTCATATATTCACTTGTATTCTTCACCATCTATGTGCAAAGTGACCAGCTCTCAGTTGGCTTGATAACTCATTTCGTAGAGAACTGCGCTGCTATCGTAGACACTGGCAGATCTAGTTGGGTGGTGCAGGGGGTGCGCACCCCCTTGAGATGAAACCTTCTTCATATTCGCTTTTAAATTTGTTTATTCACCTGTCAGTTTACGCCATTCCTTAATGGTGCACCCCCTCCTAACAAAAATTCTGGATCCACCTCTGGCAGAAGTCGTGGGTTCGAATCCCGTTCAAGCAGGTGACATCACATCACATCACATCCGTTGCAGCTTCCTTTAGTTATGCAGATTCATTTTCATATACAAGTGAATATATGAAAGATCATATATTTGATTTGCGGAGAAAGATGTGATGTCTTCATTTCATTTTCATATATAAGGTTTTGTAGGAGAAATCGCTTGGAAAAAAATTACTAGGTGAAAAATTATTTTTACTTGCAACAATCCTGTGAAGAGTACTGGCTTGCTTCATACTTTAGAATTCACTAGAACAAAGACAATCTTGGTCGCTGGGGTACTTGCTTTGGTCAATTTGAATGAAACCAATCAGTTTGCATCAAAGGCAGCAAGGAATTTTAAAGAGAAATTTGCTGTCGTGTGGTCTTGTCTGTTTCAGCCACAAGCGACGTTTTCTATTGAATAGCTGTGCTCTTACATTTGAGTAAAGCCAGAAATTTACAACGTATCTAAAACAAAATTTTCGATCGTGATCAGTTCTCTGCAAACTTATTTGTCACTGTTTACATGCAGGGAGGGTGTCCCGGCTGACCAAGTTACCCCGGGAGAGCCAACTTTTCATACATTTCTTCAGAAAACCAAGAGACATGATCAGTCTCTTGAGAAAACCCATTGAAGCGCTGACATGCTTGACAGGGTAACGCGCTTTCCTGGGGCATCCTCTCTACATCTACTTGCCTGAGCAATCTGAGCTATGAGGGCTATCTTTTTGCCATGTGATCGGTTTGTGCCGGGTTACCCGGCTAGCCGAGGTGAGAACCGAGGGTGAGAAGACCATGTTGTATTCCAAGGCCGCTTTTAACGTTGACTCCCTCTGGTGGTTACCCTCAATATAACGTCGAGTGCAAAATAATAGCACTAGACGCTGAAAAGTGGCCGCTCGCGGAACGAGTGACGAAAAAACTTGCCACCAAAATGGTTCTTTTGTCCCTTCTTGTTTGTTGTGCTTCGCAGCCACTCAAAATATAGGCCACTGACTATCCCGCTTGTTAGGCCGCAAAATGTAACAATCAACGTTGACGCAAAATGTAGCATTAATGAAAGAATTGTAACAACTTTTTAACGCAAAATGTAACTACTCTTATCGACAACGATATGCATCATCACAGTGGTCAAAATGTTGTGGACTCACGAGGCATCCACAACAAATTTTGACCAGTGTGTTGACGCGTATCATTGTCGATAAGATTATACACCTTCGCTAAACCACATTTCGATTTGTTTGTTACCACAATATCAACGTCAAAGAAAATGTTTCTTTTTTCAGAGCGCGAGCTGTAAAAGGCATTGCGTGACACATCGACGCGAGCAGCGTTGTCTGGACTCTTATCGACGGCAGCAAATTAGCCAATCAGATTGCAAGACATCTGCATTTACATCTTCATTTAGAGCGGTTTTCAATTGAGTGTCGAAAGTAATTAGAAAATTACTTTGGTTTTGGTTTTACTTCGGTTTGAGATTGGCTGAGTAGTCTAATTGGTAAGTAATTGGTTTGGCTTTGGTTTTACGACACTCAATTGAAAACCGCTCTAATAATTGATAGCGCTTTCGCATCCAATCAATATAAAGTAAAAAAAAAAAAGAAAAGAATAAATATTGAAAGTGAATGCCGTAAATTAATTGTAAACCGCTATAAAAACTAATTACATATTATAAATATGGAAAATGAATATTATTTAATTAACTTTAAATACTAAATAATCATTTTTAATTAATGAGACAATGATCTTGAGAATTCTAGTCTCTTGTTGTCCTTGGGAAGAAGCTATAAAAAATCATGATTGCAACTTGGTAATATAAAGGACAATTTAAAAAATGATCTAGTAATACGTTGTTTGGGTAAAAAATCGGAGATTGGCAGTGCAATTGAGTTGTTAACTGCTGAACAGAAACATTTAATCTATGATTTCAACGTCTGACGATTAAAGGATCTAGATCTAATGACTAACATCTCTGTTTTGGTAAAAAATATTACTAGTAGAGCTTAAGCTACATTTCTATTCACTGTGTGCGGGTGGCTAAACATGGTCACAACAACCTTCAGCACAGCTTTAGCTATTATCTTTTGATGGTCTAAACCTTATGAAGTATGTTCTTTGGGATTACTACTGTTTACGTTACTATCGATACTAGTAGAGGTAAAGTGGGAAAGAGGAGTGAAGCGTCACAATATTCCCAAGTTTTCAGAAATTAAGCTGATGCGCTTGTCAGATTAGGTGATTATGGCATAATTGTGGTGTCTTCCTTGCCACTAATGTTACATACATTCAGGAGCAGTTTCGAAAGATTCAGTTGTCTCTGGCACCTGAAGAATGGTTACTTAAACGACTTTCACTTCTTACCTACACTTGCTTTTAATAACAATGTACTGTTGCTTTTCTTATCATGAAAAACACCCATATACTTGCTAAAAAGCTAAAAGGGTTAAGTCATAAATTAAATTGAATTAACCTTTTAACAAGGGTAACAGAGTTGTTCTTCCCATCTACACTCTAAATTCTGTGCGCTGTAAAATATTTTAATTCGAGTAACAGTGTGAAAACCAAATGATTTAATCTAATACAGGCAACTCTTTCCTAGCAACCATCTGTGGGTGACCACTTTTTTGTGCAAAGTCATGTGATTTCTAACGTCTCTAGTTGTGACTGACAGGTGTTAGTAGTTATTCCTGACTTCGGACATGTTGTGTATTTTGTTGTTGTTTGTCTGGCGTTAGAACATACTAAGTTACGGCTATGTTTTAACCCTCCTTGCCGGGTAGCCCTGTCAGCCAGGGCAGTGGCGAGGGGGGTCTGCAGCCTCCCCTCTCCCCCCCAGCTACGGAAATAATGTGATTTTTCGGGCAACACACTAATGATCCAGGCAAAGATGGCGACACTTGAGAGAAAACATAATAAAAAAATAATTCTGTTTGCGTGATTTCCAAAACTCGTAAATATAGTGTCTAGTTAGTTACTTTTTTTAGAATTTTTGCCTTTAATAAGTTTCAGATTTTACTCGGATTGAGACTGTTGATAGAGTATGATTGATTGATTATGTAAGCTTTAAATATAACTTTTTTTGGAATTATAGTAGTTTCATTAGATGTGGGAATCGTGAACATTTTTTTTTCGTGCAACGTGAGTCTGTTTGTATCCCGATTTCAACACTCGCATTCGGGTATTGCGTAAATTTTTCAGTCAAGAAAGTCAGCGCCCCCCACCCCACCCCCCCAAGTCCGAAGGTGCCCGTACGCCTATGATAATGATGAAAAGGTAGCTTCTTCTCTAACGAAACATATACCCAATTCAAAACTAGTGCAAAAACCATACCCTATTTATGACCAAAATGGCCAAAATCAATACCCTATTAATGACCAAAACGCCTGAAAAACCATACCCTTTGGGGTCACACATACCTACATAGCCCATACAAGGGAGTACCCCCTCCCACGGGCAATGAACAATGCAGGTTTCTTCTGAGAAATCCGAGAGAACGGTTAGCATTGCAATTTGTAACATGAGTGTTCCATTTGAGGTCCTAAGACGGTTCCACTCCTAAATATTTATGGTGTTGCACTGGTTCAAGTAAACGCACTTTTTCAAAGCCTTCCTTCTTGTATCCGCCCTGTACATTGAAAAGGCATGGAATCATATGGTTGTCAAGGTCCTCACACAGTGCTACATCAAATGTAACATTTCAATTTTTGTCTTCAACATTGCATCGCACGGCCATTTCTCACCCGCGGTTTTTTTTTCACATCACGCTTAACGGACTGAGAGAAAGAGGGACTACTCATAGTCTAACACAGCAGCCCACTAAACCATGGTAATAATGCACTCTACACAAAAAATGCACATCTATTATCGCCTGGGGGTTCCAATAAACGGCACGCAATGCATGCAGAAGCGATGACGTTTAAAAATTGTTCCTAGA